TCCACCGTGAGCAAATGCTTCTCTGCAAACTGCGCGTTCATCATTAGTTGCTGGACAGACCCATTGATAACTTTCCCATTCAGCTCTACATCTGGAGAGTCTTGTGTTCAAAGGGCGAACGTGAGCTCCTCGATGTTTTAAACCGCGCAGGTTTAGCGCATGCTGCTCTCCCGTGAAAGGGCTTTAACGGCGCGCGTTCTGGAGACTCCGTCATTGCCATGGAAACAAAGACGCCAAGATGAGCTTCTCTAACTTCTTATGAAATTGATTTAATTATAATTGCTATTAGCATTATAAACGGTGCAAAATACTTATTTGTTGATTCAGCTTGTTGGCCTTTGTAAAATACGGGACAAATCGTGTCCCGTATTGATTTGATACAGGACGCATCATTTTACCTTAAAGGTGTCATATGATGCGATTTCAATTTTTCCTTTCTCTTTGAAGTGATACAAGCTCTTGGTGCATGAAGAAGATCTGTAAAGTTGCAAAGACTAAAGTCTCAAATCCAAAGAGATATTCTTTATAAAGTTAAGAGTCAACCACACCTACCTAAAACGGCTCGTTCTAACACGCCCCCACATGTCTATGTCATGATGTGGGAAGATTTGCATAACGCCGCCCAAATGTTCATGCAAAGAAAGAAGGCATAACTTTTATTCTCGCTGTAGTATTGTTTGTGTTTTCCTCAGTGCATAACTGACATGTCACAGGTATATTTTTCATCTGTAAATGTCAGAAAGTCAGGCAAATATATCCATTTTGCTGTCAGGAGTGGGCGAGGCTTACACGAGTGAACGAGCGCTGCTGCGCGTATGCGCACTAAACAGAAGGAGCGCAATCAGATAGTAGCACAATAATTCTGAGTAAAATATACATTTTGCTAAAATAGCTAACTATAAAAGGTACAGCTGTAATAAAACCAGAGAGAAAGGCTACATGGCTAGAAACTGTAAAAAAAAAAGGTCAAATAATAGTATGTGAGAGAGTCAGAGCTTGATCTAGGCCTATGTTAAATTTGCTTTATGGAACCAAATCATTCGACAATGAGTCAGACTAACTGAAATAAGCCTGGCTTATTTGGTAAACATGTTTTATGAAAGAGGCCTCGAGGCATTAGAAGTGATCAAATTTTTTCCATTGCATCGAATCGCATTGTGTTGAATCGAATTGAACTGAAATTGGATTGCACTGCATCGTAATAGGGGTGAATCAATCGTATCGCATCGCATCGGTAGCTGCTTCATATGTATCTTTAATGTTTTGTATCGTTGGCTATGCACTGAGATGCGTATCGCATCGGCCTCATTATGGAGATGCACATCCCTACTGTCTAGACTCTGCCCTGGTATGGGCTATTCGTTAGCCATTCATTAGTCTGGTTGTTTGATGAGAACGTGATGAAATATAGTTGCAATAAACACGTTAAGAATCCACACAAATGTAGCAGCGAAGGACTGTTATTCTGTTGTGCAGAACTGCGGAAAAACTGATGACGGTACGGTTTAAAGTTTGGTTGACCAATCAGCAGAAAGGGGCGTTTCATTCCCGCCTATATGCAGAGATCGAATATTCAAGCCGTTTCTTCATTTTCTAGCCCTGAACGTGAAAACGAAAAATCAAGCATAATTATTTTTATTTTTATTTTTTACCATTTTCTTATTTTTCTGTTTTTAATATTAAATTAAAAAACAAATTGGAAATCTTTTCTTTGTAGTGTTGTCAGTTAAATAAAGGTTAAGGACTTAACAAATTAACAAATCACAGATTCAATTTACAAAACGCCCCAACTTAGTTTAAGGACAGGTAGATTTCAAAGCAGCTTTAATTTAAAGCTGTCCTACAGCTGTTTTTTTTAATTGTATGTATTGTTTTTGTTTGTTTGTTTTTTTGCTACCATGCATTGGTCAAGGCTGAAGTCAAGTTATTAAAGCAATTCATACATTCAGCAATACAGAAACCTGTGAGCCAAAATGTGAGTCATTATCATTATCATTATCATCAATATCCATGAACCCTTGTCATTCAATCACTTATAAAACACTGTACTGTATATTTGCAGCACATTTTTAATGCGAACACATTGCTTTCAAAACTGTTAAAAAATGAATGATGAATGACGCATTACTGCATTTCTGCAGTAATTACACGAACTTTAGAGAAAATTTTAGCAGAATATTTACAATAAAATTAAATAGTAATGATCACGCCGATAAACTCAGAGACAGAGAGAAGAGTGGCATCCAGACGCTCCAGACGAAGTTCATTATGACAATTAGAGTAGCATGTCCAAATTCATAGTATTCGAAAAACAGTAGGCTTGTTTCAGCTTTTTATTTATTTTTTTAACAATTAAATTACTATATGCAAAGAAGATATAGAAACAACAAACAGCATTAATCTGATTCATTTTCATTACATGTCTATAGTAAAATCAATAAAAGAAATGGTGTTATTCATATTCTATGTTCATATTATATGACATACAGATTTATGTGAAAAATAATTTAAACTTCAAAGATAAAAGTTCATCATTTACCATAATTATTTGTGCTGTTAATGTTTTTTTAGGGCAGTGTGCTATGAGTGTTTACACTCTAAAAAATGCTGGGTTAAAATCAACCATTGCTGGGTTATTTGGCAACCCAGCGCTGAGTAAATACAGGTGCATCTCAATAAATTAGAATGTTGTGTTAAATGTGAGCCAAAATCATCACAATTAAAAGAACCAAAGACTTAAACTACTTCAGTCTCTGTGCACTGAATTTATTTAATACACGAGTTTCACAGTTTGAGTTGAATTACTGAAATAAATGAACTTTTCCACGACATTCCAATTTATTGAGATGCACCTGTATTGTAGAGAACACATGCTGGGTTATTTTGACCCAGCTGGTTGGGTTAAATGTTTTTAAACAACATGCTGGGTTGTTTTATTATTAACTCAACTATTGTGTAAGAATTACTATATTGCTGGTTTACATACATTTACATACAATATTACATAAATTTACACTTGTTTAACAAGCATCTTTAAACAAAAAATTAAAGTAACTTTTTAATTAAAGTGTATTTAACCGTTCTCTATTATCCCTTTTAACCACAATAGTGCTGATTCTCATGCCGCCGGAATCTGAGCCGGTGATGGGCTGCTGTTCAGCAGGGGAATTGCGAACCAGACGACCGCCTGGCGTTTCACTCGTAACTGAAAGTTGCCATGACTGACTTCATAACCTGCCCATAAACAAACAGTACTGAGATTAGAGAACATATTTTCACATAAAAATAAATTAAATTCAGTATTATAACGAATAAAATCAGTTTATGTTATGCAAGGCAAAAGGCATTTCCGTCATGCGAAATGACCGCTGCTGACGCATTTAGCTGACTGACCTCTCGTCCCTGTATTTTGCGTTGTGTAAAATAATATAATTTACAGCACAGTAAAGATTTTATAGATGGAATAAAATGTATAGAAACCTTTATTTCACGGAAGAAGTGCACCACGGAGAATCGCTCTCTCTGAAGGTAACCCAACAGCTGGTTTGAAGTAACCCCGCACTGGGTTGTTTCGCTGGAGGGAGCGGGAGGGGTGTATAGTTTCAGCAGTCAGTGAGATTGACCCAACCACTAACCCAACGGCTGGGTAACACAAAAACTACCCAGCACTGGAAAAAAACAACCCAACAGGCTCAACCCAGTAGCTGGGTAGAAAAAATAATCCAGCATTTTTTAGAGTATGTGTGCTTTCTGAGAGAGAATTGTTGCCAGTGTTATGGGTGAACAACAGGCTTATATGTATGGAGTGTTTTGGTAGTTTGAGCAAGTTTTGGAAGTGAAATTAACTGTTTGGTCAAGATTCATGTTTGTAATGCAGACTGTATGAAGATTTTTGAAAAAAAGTGGCTTCAGTATTGATCAATGCATGTTAGCAATTGAAAAAGACTACATGGAAGTGAACATACATAATGCAAAAGGCATAAGCCTACTGATCTATTGGCCTAATAGTGTTTTGTGTTGAGCACATCAGTGTGTTGTTGGCTGGTAAACAGAGCTTTTCATATGATGTGTCTGTGTGTGACATTTTTGGTGCAAAAAACATTTTGGAGAGAGATAAAATGCAGTGTTTGCTTTTGCCAGAGATTTGCAGTTTTTTTTTTCTTGCATATTGTGTTTGTGTTTGTGTTGTGATAGTGTTTTGAGGCAATGGGCCAAAGATTCAGCAAATGCATGTACAAACAATTGAAAAAAAAAACTTTAATTAGATGTAACTATTTTATAGATATTTTAGGATACGGAATTTATTACATTTATAACAAACATTCCCTGTTTCATACTGCATCTTGATTTTTTTTCTTTCACTTTTTCCATGAAGAATACATGCTGCCTTAGGATTTGGCCACAGCAGGTATCGTAGAGTAATTGTGCTGCATTTATTCTGTCTAGATCAGCCTTTATGTCAGAAGTGCATGACACTTCAAATGTTACCTACTCAGGCAGCTCATCAGGAACAGAGCCAACATCTTCATTATTCCCCAATACTTTTACAGAATCATCACTCCATGTCTACTGAATGATGTAATGTAGCAAATACGGTGGTTTATTTTCAATGCAAATAAATATGAACCTCAAATTCATTTAAATAAAAAAACAACTGCTTACCAGTGACTTTTCAGTAGTTACAGAGGGTTGAAAAGGAGAGCTTGCCTAGGGGGACAAAATAAATAGAAATGTGTATATTCAACATTATTTTACTTTTGACATGATATAGATTGTTGATTAAGCTTAGGAACACTCTGGACATGAATGAAATAATTTTGAAAAAAGTGCTTCCACAATATCCTCTTAATTGTTATAATATTATTTGAAGTGATTATTATTATTGATTTCATATCATATTATTCAGCTATGGACTCCTCTATGTCTGTAATCTAGTTGCCAAAACCTGTGGAACAACAGGAACAAACTGATTCTTCAAAATCCTGTAATTTGTGTATGACAAGAAAATTTTCTCCAATTGTCCAGGCGAGATGAAATGTTGCACTCAGAATGTAAACATGCTGTAAAATACCATTATTATAAAGTGAATACCTCAGTAAAGGTCAGAAAACCTGCAACCTCACACAAGCCACCTTATGTAGCCTTATTGTAAAAACAAGAATTAAACATGGCTGGTGTCACAGTTACGGACGTTTTGTTGTGTTTTTCATTCCCCATATGCTCTGTGTGACCTAGTTTCTGTCTCCTGTTGATTGTGTCATTATGTTCAGGTGTGTCTAATCATTATCCTCATTTACGTTCCCCATATAAGTTGCATTCTGTTCAGTGTTTGTTTGTCCGGTCTCGTCTATGGATATGTGTTTGCGCTACCCTCCTGTGATGGATTACCCCATGTGGATTATTAAAGACTGTTTCTCCTTATTCTTCTGCTTCGTGCATTCACTCCTGCACTACACCGTGACAGCTGGAAGATCCTAGCAATAGTAAAAGCGCCCAATTTATAATTGAGTTATAATTCTAGTGCAGTGCTAGAGCATATGCTGTAGGTTGGATAATGGGATTGAATCTGAAGGCTACAGAAGTTTTTGAGTGTTAATGAAATTTCTAGACTGGTGGGTTGAAACCCCAAAATGCAACCATATAATTGTGCATAATAAATACTGCAAAATAAAAAGGAGAAAACGCTTTCCATATAATTTCTTGTTGACATCAAAGACTGTGCAATCAATCAGTTTTCTATACTTCTTTCTAAAATCTAGGTGTAAAATGTCAAATCTGGGCTCTAGATTGGCTTGCATGCTTATATTCACTGGTATACAAAAATAGTTTGACTAATAGAATTGGCACTGAAAAAATGTACGTTATCAAAGTTGTAAGGCATTTGCGAACATCACACAAATGAACGAGGGAATACATTAACGTCTCACTGGACGACCGTTGATAAGGTGTAAACTATTAAAATTTGAAATCAGTTCTAATCAGGTTGACTTCGAATTTTCCGATTCGAGTCCTCTCAAAACCTGAATGAAATAATAATAATTAATTCCCTTACAAATTAGTTAATTTCTTACAAAGTGTTAGCAATATTTCTAGAGCACTGAGATGGCATTTCAACATGAAATACTTCAAAATAAGAATATTTCCAGAACTAATGCTCTGTTAGATTTTATAATGAATGATTTCTCAGATTTGCCTTCTCAGTATGATACAAAATATGTAGAGAGATCAAAGATGAATGGGAAAACGTACATATCTTGTTTCCCGTCCCAATATTTTTGGAGATGGTGATGACGTCTGTGGCTTCAGAAGTTCAGAATAAAGGGAAAAGAATGAGTTAAGAAAGCTCTCGGCAGCTGAAAAAGCACATGTTTCAAAGCAAGTACAGTGAACATAATCAAAATGGCAAGCTGGGTTTGAACAGCAGGGCTCAGATTGATCAGAGTGGAGGACTGAATTCTTCATTTTGCTAACAGGTCTTCTTTGAAAATAATCAGGAAATTGTAGCTCTTACAAAATAAAAATCTATATGACAATCTATTCTATTGATTTATTTTTTTTTATTTTTTTTTTTTCTCCAGGGTGAGAAAATAGGTTTCATAGTTCAGTCATGGCAATGTTTTAGTCTGGGTGAAGACAGTTACACTGTTATAGACACAAACAAGAAATATTTTATTCCTAGAAAAGCACTATATTTTATGTTCTGACTGAATGTAATGCCATTGTGACTAATCAAGATCAAAGATGAAATAATTCCCAGTGTCAATCATCCCCCAGTCCACCCCCAGTGTCAGTTACATACCCTTGATGCCTCTGCTGCCAAAGACTTCACATTGGCTTTGTTCACATGCTCTGATTGATGCTGGAAAAATGGATTAAAACATGAAAATTGGTGCATAAATGGATTATTGTTTAGGTCAGCTTTGAGCAGAGTGTGTTTTGGTGACAGCTCACTCTTTGGATCGAGTCCTCGAGGACTTCATCAATGGTTGCATACAGTTCTGCAGTCTGCTGACGCAGCTGCACAGGAGAGCACATCTGCACAGAGAGAAGAACACTTCACAGAAATGCCTAGTTTGGAATAATCCAGAACATTAAATACTTCACAAATTAATGCTACTTCATCTCATTTTCTTACTCAATCTGTTTAAGTGGACAGCAATGGATGTAAATTAAAATATAAGTTATTAGGCTCGCATTGTCAATCACTGCCTCAACTGTCTGGCCCACCCTGAGAGTGCTTTGACCCTCCTTACATGGTAGAGCTGGAGTAGCTTGAATAGCTACCAAATTTTATGTAACACTCGAGTTAAAACCAAAGATTTAAAAAGTTAAATACAACAATGATATTTGAGAAATTTGTAATATAATATGCCATGCAAACTATACCACAATATAGCAAAATCTCTGCAGGTTCTACCAGTCACTGCAATCTATTCTGCCACATCGGGTCTCGTTCTACCTCTGCATGTGGGTCCTCCCAAGAGTAGTTGTCCGCAGGGTCGAGTGAAGCCTCTTTCTTGTTGACCTCTTCATCTATAGTCTTCAGCAGGGAGAAAATTAAGAGTTGTAGATGACGCATTAATCTTCTAATGATAGAATATATGAAGTTTTGACCTTAACAAGTGGGTAGGTATAAAGGGGTTGTTAAAGCTGCTAAATCCCAAAGGTGTGAGTGTGTTCTCATCTTATACCGATTATCTCCTGTCCAGTACATTTTAACCTCTACTATAATGTTTCATGAGGTATGCAATATGGATGAGTCATTCTGCTCGCTCTGTTAAGATTACTTTTGACCACTTATGAACAATTCCATTCTGCTGTCCATCAACAGAGAAAAAAAATCAATGATTCAGTTTCGCCTTCATCCATTTGTATCCAATGACCCTCACTAACGACTATGCAATTGCATGGAATCCAAAAAAACTACAGCCATATAATGACTTATACTGACAGTGAATGAGATCCAATTATTAACACTAAATAATAGGTGTCATTTAGAGCAATTTGATAAAGCAGCTCACCTGCTGTTCCAGGAGCAGAGTATTTGTGGGAATAGCAGCAAGTGCCTTGTAGGTGGATTTGATCTTGTATGTCTATATTAGGAACGAATGATTTAGAAGTCACAGAAAATCAAAAGCACAATTAAACAATTTACAATTGTGCTATGCCCTAAGGATGGGCACCATGATTAATTTGAAAAACAGTCATATGACAATAAGATTCGAAAAACAGTGATATGACCGTTTTTTGAACATTAATTTCTCATTATTGGAACCCAATGGGAAAAAATTAGTGAATGAATTCATGAATTTAAAAATCCAATGTACCCACAAAAACAATCACTTTAAAACAACTTAAAAAGAAACCTCTAATTTTTTACAGCCAAAATGAATAAATTCCACAATAATTTCTGCATTTAATAAAACTAACCAGTATGTGTTCTGCAAAATAGCAAAAATACTATTTAAACAAAATTGTTTCTTTTAATATTTTCTATGGGGAGTGTTATTTGCTTTTAGAGAACCTGAACAAAACCTGAAACCATGATTTTCGATTCCATTTTGAATATAAACCAATATAAAAATGCACTTTAAATAAATTATATGGTTGTTTCACTTTTTTCAATGCATGCATGTGACTGCCATCAACTGACACACCATCAGTTCACCATATCTCAGTCTGTATGTTATGTGGAAATAACTTCTGCAGTTCTGCCAACAGACAGCTGTGCAAATATATCTTATGCGGTAAATCATGCACATATTGCCTAATCCAAGATCACAAGCAAACACAAAACATGCAAAATGCAAAACTTGCCCTTTGCCAAAGATTTGCTGTTCTTGCATGAGTATGATGCATGCAATGTGGGAGGCTGTGATTGGGAATGCATGTCACTCATTGAAGGAATGCCAATGCTCAGCAGTAGAGCATGCAAGTTGCATGCTGGTAACAGCGAAAGGGCATGCACCGTACCTTTCTATTTTTACAGTCCCCATCTGCGCAGTCTGGTGTGCTGCCCCATAGGGATGGAGAAGGTGATGAACAGAAGGAGTATGAGGGGGAGGGGGAGAGCTGACGGCTTGGGGAGGGCGAGAGGGTGCAGTGATCTGGGGTGGAGGAGCGCGAGTTTGGGTAGACTGGGGGACAAGCAGGAGAGACTGGAGGTGTGTAGGACAGGTGGGTGAGACCCACGGGTCTGGTACAGGGAGACAGTCTAAAAGCTGGGGATGATAGGTGCACTCTTTCAACATAATTTTTGCGGCCATTTTGGAAAAGAGTACTTTGTTTATTCTCCTTGTGACTTAAAACAGGAGATATGGAATTACTGTGCGATTCAATTGTGTGTTTCAGAGTAGGAAAGGAGGAAGATTTACATGAATTTTGTGCAGGTTGTGGTACAGAGGAGTCTAAATTGTCAGATGAACTTCCTCTATCTTTCAGATATGGTTCATTGGAGAGATCAGATGACTTCTGACCCTGTTTTAATGCCGGTGAATATTTTTCTGACCTATCATGGGATTTTGTTTCATCATTCTGTATTAAGGATGCTAAAGATTTGTTTGGCTCTATAGATGCATGGCGATCCCCTGGCATTGATGGATTTTTCTGGCTCTCGGTGCTGGAGCAAGACAGAGAGCTTGATTTAGCAGATGAGGAGTTCATTTGAGATATGGAGCTACACAAAAGAGAGCTAGGAACTGTCGGTAAACGATTTCCTTTGTGACCTGATTCAGACAGATGAGCATTGGCAGTCTGGACTGTAGGAGAGCTTGGTGAAGGGCTGTGTTTTGTTGGTAAGACGATGCTAGTACTCGTGAAATGTTGATATGATTCAAGTCTTTCTTGTGGTTTCATTAGTGGGCTTTCATTGGGTGTCTTGACCACTGATGATGCTGAAAGAGAACTATGGTCTGGTTTCCGTAGTTGTGTCTTTGAAACCTGGCAAGACTCAGTACAGGGTCTATCTATGGAGGAACAAGACTTTGCTTTGGACACATTCATGGGTGCAACAGAAGAGGCAGCTGAGCATGCTGAACAAGAGGACATGTTAACTGGACTGATGGGCCAGCAGGGTGTGTAAGGTCTTTGAAAAGCAGAGGACAGGACAGGCAGACGACCTTTCCTGAGAATGGCCGTTAACAGGGAGAGTTGGGTTGGAGGGGGTTTGTGCCGGGCACGGGGCGTAAGAGGACAGGGTGAGCTTGCCCGACTGTCACAGCAGGGTGTTCCGCAAGCGGACGACATCTGCAGCAGAATGGAGCCCGGAGCCAAGGAGTACCGCTTGATTCTCACAACAGAGGGTGTGAAGGCCCCTGATCTTATGGAAGAACACGGGGAAACTGTGCCACTAAGGGGGCCAGGAGAACCATCCCGTGAGAACATGTTGAGCGCTGACCAGCTCCTCTCTTTGTCCCAGCCCTCGGAGAAAATAGACTCCTTAGAAGAAGCAGGGGAAGTACAAAAATCCATGGAGCTGGCAGGGCTAAGGGCCTCCCCTCTCTGGGATGAGCTATTTAAAAACAGACCTGAGCTGACCTCGGCAGCCTCTGAAGTGTTGTGAAAGCCTAGCTGAGAAATGCCAGGGTATTTGTTATCAACGGTTTCCATGGTGGCAGGGCTAGGCTCGGGAGGTTTGCTACCAAATTCTGTGTGAGGACCAGCTAGCTTGGTGAGTGGTTTGAGGGTTAAATTGTCAGTTGACTGAATCTGAGAAAGAAAGAAAATTAAAGAACCTTAAACAGACTTAATTTGAGTAATGATTGCAATGATGTCTAATCATTGTTCACTGCAAATTGTACAAAGCATAAAGACCACATGGAGTTTATTCGTGTATCTGCTCGATATCGAAAGGCTATCTACACATTAAAGTTTCTGCTGCATCAGAAGCATTTCCCAGCTGCAAGTGATGCTTTGCCATGCAACCAAAAATGTTAACTTTTGTTGCAATACACTGTGATGTAGGCACCCATTGACCAATGTGAATTTCAGAAAAGTGGGTTCAATTGTGCTTTTGAAAACTATTCTTAAATGTCAAGTTTATAATTCCAGCTCCAAATGGAATGATAATCTTTATGTTTAAGCGACCCATTTTGGCATGCCATTGGCAGGAGGAGTCTGAAATGTTTAAAAACAGTCATTATCTTTAAGCTTCTGTTAGACATTAGTGGCACAGATTAATTAGACACAATAAACATTCCTCTCCATCAATCACTCAGTCAGAACTTGATCTACTGCGTAGGCGCACTAATGTGTGTTTTTAATTAACCGGAAACCGCAAGTACCTCTGATCAGCACAGAAAACAGCATATTGAAAATCATGTCTAAAGACATTAAAAGATAATAAGAAGTCATCCCAAAGCAACTCAAATAATTATACTGTACTCTACAAACAGTACTACATCTCTAAATTACTGTACTACTTTAAAATTCATTGCTTTAATAACTTCCCGGTCAATCATTTTGTCATTACATATTTATTATATGTAATTTTTAAGGAAGGTTCAGTAAGGAATTACAGAACACTGTTTCATCAGGAGCTTGTGTTTGCCCTGGGACAGAATTTACCAAAATACTCACCTCACTTTGAGTGGTGTTCTTGAGCGTTTCTTCAAGCTGGCGCTCTTCAGGGTCTTGGACGTAAACAACCTCTGCGTTGTAGACTCCCTCTTCCGCCATGCTCTTTTTAATGTCCCCTGGCTCTTGTGAAGTCTGACATTGGAACAGGAAATGTTACTAAGCGACACCGAATCTGAAACAGCAGCTGTCCCAAAGCAGGCTATTTCTAGCACCTGAACATCTTGACGATATAAGAGAGTTACTGAATGGATTTATATGTGCGTGTGTTTCCCATTCCAGCTTGTACATCTTTTTTTCCAGAAGTCCATGTCCCTTATTGCTCACATGAAAGTACACATGACCCATCCTGATTGTGTAAGCCCTTTAGCAAATGCCTTTCACATTTTCGTATTCACTCACGCACACACACGTAGGTCATCCTCTGCTATGGGACTCTGGGTAGAACTTGACCCTTAATCACTGAAGTCTCACTCCTTCTATCAGATTTGTGCAATATTTGCGCCTTAAAGGAATAGTTCACCCAAATATGAAAATTCTGGTATTATGTGCTCAACCTCACCATATTGTTCCAAACCCACATGCTGTTATTTAGATCAAAGCAAATATTACTGCAACACGTAAAAAAGAAAGCAGTTTTTTAATCTGAATGCGAATTACATTTGAGAACTTCAGTGGAGGTAAAATGTTTAGCAAATAATAACATTGAAATTTGGGTCTGTTCTTCACAAAAAGCTACCGTATGACTTGAGAAGACTTGAAATATAGCACATAAGTCATATGGTCTGATTTTATAATACTTCTATAGTGCTATTCCTAAGCTTGGTCACTATGAACTGTCATTGTATGGCAAGAGCTGCGTAAAGATTCTTTAAAAAAATTCAAAACATTCATGTTCCATGTAAAAAATAACAGCAAATGGGTTTGGAACAGCACAAAGTGATAACCTGTTCCTTGTAGTGTGATGTTTTTCCTCTTGTGTTTTTGAGGGACACAGTATGGCATACATAACAGGAACCATACTGAGCTGTCTCAAGAGTATTTCTCACCTTGCTTGGTCTGCTTGTCTGAAGTACCTTTTTCCAGACCCTGTTCTCAACAGGTAGTCTTTTTAGAAACGGCACAAAGGTGAAAGACTTTAGCTTGGTTGCAAATACAGTGGTGACCTGTAAAACAGACATATTATTAAAGTGATTTCAGTAGACACCGAGGAACAGCATGAAGCAAATGAAAACAACAAAGAGCCATCAAGCTTGTGTTGGCGCCAACAAATAATTGAATCAAAACCAGTGCTTTATTCAGATGAGCAGTAATGTTTCATCGTCACATTGTCTGATTGGAGTATTCAGTGTTATAAACCGCAGTGTCTTCACTCTGAAACATGAATCAAGAGCTGTGATTACAAAATCACACTGCTGCCGTTCATTCCACTTCATTTTGCAATTATGCCTTTTCGGGATTCAATATATTTAGCAAACAAAGCGCTCCTGGGGATGAAATATGTGTCTGTCTTGCTAATAGTGACAAAATGTTATACTTGTTTCCCACCCTAAAAATTATGACATACAAGAGCTTGACACTTCATTTCCTACAACATTTGAATAAGTAGAGAATGTTTGCATAGCACATTTGTTCTGTGCATCCAAATCCTAAATTGGTAGAAGAGAGTAAGTTTAAAAGAAATGTTTTACCTTCTGCTGACTTCAGCACTGCCCTTGATGATTTGAGAATGATAATATGTGGTCTCCCAGATTGCTTTCAAGCTGTTGTATATGCACTACAAACAGAGGGTCCATTCAGTGTATAAATGTAGGAGTTGGGGACGGCCCTTTCCTGCTCACATTTTAAAATCTGACAATTAACAATTGTTAGCTTGCTCTCTTGACAGAGAAGTGTTATGTTTGTGATTGCTAGCAGATGTCGTAGCTACCTGATTTAAGACAGACTTACTCATTCTTTAAAGGGGTCATAGGATGCCCATTTTCCACAAGTTGATATGATTCTTTAGGGTCTTAATGAAAAGTCTGTAAATATAGTTTGGTTAAAATTTCTCAATGGTAGTGCAAAAAACACCTTTTTACCCTGTCAAAAACAGCTCTTTTCAGATCAAGCCGTTTTTGTAGCATTTTCCTTTAAATGTTAATGAGCTCTGCTGACCCCGCCCCTCTCTTCCGAGACCATTTGCAAAGATTCATTCCAAAACATTATACTCACTTCTTCTGTAGATGAGGCTGGATCATGAATGATTCGCGCAAACATAGACGCATTTATGTAGATCGGGGAGCATTCCCTTCAAAAACAAACTAATCCACTCCACATAGTTCAGCGGCTCAGATGTCGGGAGTAAATGATGACTGCTATGTTCATTATTACATCCAACAACAGAACACCTCGATCGCTTAGGAGTCATTCTTGTCTACATCTGCTCCAGCGGTGAAACAATGGCGGACTGATGACAGCCCCCTCAGGGCGGGTCTGAGGTAAGACACCAATCCAGTCTGTGCTGAAACGTTACTGTCAATCAAACTATCGTGGGATCGGCTCGATTTGAGAAAGGGGTAAACATTTAACCAGATTAAAAAAAAAATAACTGGGTGGATTTTTATCATTATAGGGTGGTTGTGTACACACACTGCCAACACACATTTCAGTTCAAACAACTTGTAAAAGTGCATGTAGCATCCTATGACCCCTTTAAAATCACTGTTGTCCACTTTTTAGAATAATATTGAAATCACCCAAATTAAGTAAAACCAGAAATGGAAGTATATGGAAATTTACTAAAATTGGCTAAACTAAAAACAGCTCTGCACACTCTGTTCATTTTCTGAACCAACTTAATGAGGTGCATTCAGTGATGCCGTTAAACAGTTCTCAAGATGTTCCCATGTATGCTGGATAGTTGTCGTCTGCTATTCCTTCACCATCCATTTTAACTCATCCATAAAAATGTCAATGTTTGTTTATTAAAAGAAATGCATACATTTTATTTGTCTGTATAACTAGCAATGATAAGTAAACTTCAGTTTGCTGAATTTTTATGTGATGATTAGGGGTTAATTTGAAAAAGATTATACAACAATAATGGACCAATAAATAATGGTGCAGGTAAACGTTAATTATACAACATCAATAGTCCATAAGCATCCATTAGTTGTTGCTAATTGCTGTGGTGTTCACATGAATTGTACTCCCTCCAGACCACTTTTTCAAACTTTAGACCTCACACTCTATGCCACCTACAATACATTCAGTCTGTGTGATGCATATTGCGCACAGAACTGCAAATAATTTTCTTGATATGGCAAGCTCTATTGATAGGCTGGTTTTGTATGACTTCTGGGAGTAAGAGCTTCTTTATCAGTCTGCCTAGCAAAAAACATTTTTACATGATAATACAAGACATACAAGACATACAAGACATAAGTGCTTTTGAGGATGAAATAATCACTCGATTGCCTTGTTTGTGGCATCAAATCTTTGAGATTTTCAAGTTCACTGACTTTACAGAGTGTTATTTGTGTTCTTTGATTGCATCATTCACGTCTTATTGGGATTGTAGTTCATTCCCTGATAAAATACACTTTTGCTTCCTGTCCTGTCCATTTGTCATTATTATTATTATTCAGCTTCAAGAGAAAGATGTGTAATTGTGAAAACATTCTTCCACTTTAGGATTCAGACTACAGTATGCAACCCAACACAATTATCCTCCATGGCCATAATCATTGCACCGGCCGTGTCTTTGACACCTCTGCCCTGAACATATTCAGAGTGTGCAGAATGACACCCTACTTACATTACTAATGACAAAACACGACAGACTTGAATGCTCCCATTATAATCATTGCCTATATAGGAAGCTGCAGAGTGGGGTCCCTTGAACAATTTCACATGGCTTTTTGAGCTTGCAGTTCTCCGCTGAGTTTCTGCATGGTGATCTGCACTCCCACAAACCCTCCAATTATAATCAAAGAAGCTGTCACCTATACTGCTGGTGTAGATGGAATGTTAAAATACAGCCTTTGGATATTAAATAAATTGTCATTGCAATTAAAATTACTGTTATGCAAACAAGAAAAGAAAAATAATAACCCAACATTTTGAGAGAGGCAGAACATAAAATCTGAGGCTTCAAAAAACCTACCCACACTCCTGCTTGGAGACACACAGCGTGTTGTGTTTTTGTTGCCAGAAGGTCGATTTTTGTCAGAAATGTGAATGAATTAATATTTATTTATTTATTAACAATCAATTAACAATTTATATGCATATACAGACTGTAAAAAAAAATACAAATATAAAATGATTTTGGCAGCTGTGGTTGCCAGAATAATTTTGTACAAAAAAAAAAAAAAACTGAACAATTTACAAATATTTACAGAACAAACTGTACATTTTACAGTATAAAACTGTAATTTACAAACAAGAAAATTTGAGTGTAAACTAGTAAATTCAACAATGCACACTGCTACTAAAATCTGCTTTGTATCTTTAACATTAACTGACAACCACCATAATAATGCAGGTGGTAAAAGAGACAGCAATATGAAGAATCAGTTCATCACAAATAGCTTTTCCACAAGCTGAAGTATAAACGAATATTTAGAAGGCACACAGAGTTATTCACGCAAACACTAAACATCATCATGGTAACAGACGTGACACTTAAATAATGCAATAAACATTCATTAAACAACAGAAGATGTAACATAAACCCAAATGTACATAACTGATAACAAACATGTATATATATTCTGCAAGGTGTAAATAAACTTACGCTCTACACCATGGTCTAACTAATACTCAATTCTGATTGGTTGGAAGCGTACGTTAAACCTGGGTAATGCACAGAAGAATCTTCAGTCAGATTAATCACTTTTTAAAATTAATTCGCTCCCTTCACTGCACATATGGTCCTGCTCACACCAGAATATTCAGGAGCACAGAAACTTGCTGTCAATGCTGCTTCTCGACTTTTATCAAGAAAATAGCTTTACTACTAAAGGCTGGAATTCACTACACAACTTTTAAAATCTTAAAAGATTTAAAACACTATAGGAATCATAACCCTTGTGGATTACAGAAAATATATATATATCATGGCCACGAATCACACAACTTACTAATAAGTCAGCAGGATTTACTAATTCATCACTTCGTGAGCATTTTTTACTAATTCGTTCCCTCAATTTAAGTAAAAAGTGAGAATGTTTTATTCCTGTCCACAATTTCATAAACCCATCGTCCTTTCTGCATAGTGAGAAAAGACCTCTATTGCTGCTGTTATGAATAAAGTATGACAGGACTGTAACGGGTAGCCTGTCCACAAAGAGGGTTCTAGGCTATTCACAAATCATTCAACAAACAGAACGACTTAACCCTCTATGGCATGAATTTTTATTTTGGGTGGAAAAAAAATATTTCAACCCATTTTTTGGGAGCTTGGGGGTCCCTCATAATATATCCATCATAAAATATGTCCCCACCCCCGAACCAGATATTGGGCAACACTGTGCTATGAGGGTACTGAAACACCAAGGTTTTCTATATAAGTGAAATATGGAAAACATGCATTAGAAGCATTAGAAAAAGTTTTATTTCGACAAGTATAAGTCACAACTGTCTCCAACTAATCACAAACATCAAAAAAATTACAAATAAACCAAATGAACTAATAAATAAAAACTACTACTAATTACAAATAACACCTCATGTATTGAAATGTCTTTTTTCATATCTGTCACATTTCATATAAACATATAAACCAACATCCAAATGACTGAGTACGTGAGGGTGTGAGAGAGTGTACTGGTATTTTTGCCCTTGTGGGTCAATTTTTGGTCCCCATGAGGAAAACAGCTTATAAATCATACAGAAGGATATATACTGTATGTATATATATATATATA